CGGGGGGAGGGTCAGTCTGGGTCTGCCCAAAGGGGGGAGCTGGGGTTGACCCTGGTCACGTGTGCAAGACAGGGAGGAAGGGGGGCAGCCTGCATTCATTTGTTAGACTTACTTTCCCCCCCAGTTAGGATCATGATGGTTCAACCTCAAGGTCGGTGAGGAGAGGGGGTGGCCCCCTTGTACAGTCACTTTCATTTCCTGCCTGACTGTTCAGAGGGAGAACAGTTCCTGGCAACTTCTGACCACAGGCACCTTTTCCTTTTGTCAATTCTGTTTTGCTTTTCATTTAGGAATCCCCATCATCCTGTGCGGCTTGTCTGGATATGGCTGGAAGCGTCCAAGGTAATGTCTCGGGTTCCAGGGGACGGGGCAGGGTGGGGTGAGTGGACGGAGGTGTCAGGCAGCGAACTCACACTGCTGTGCCCATCTTCTCCTCTGCCCCTTGGTTGCAGAGTCTGAACTCCAGATCGTCCTTGTTGGCAAAACGGGAAATGGGAAAAGTGCAACGGGAAACACAATCCTGGGAACTAGAATCTTTAAATCTAAGATGGGTCCTACTTCAGTAACAATAAAATGCGAAAGGGCAGAGAAAAGGCACTATGGCAGGAATATTGTAGTTGTTGACACACCTGGGTTTTTTGACACACATCGTTTGACATCGGATGTAGCCTCTGAAGTTAAAAGATGTGTGCAGCTGTGCTCCCCAGGTCCCCACGTCATCGTTCAAGTTCTTCGTCCGGGTCGTTTCACTGGGGAGGAGAAGGAGGTCGCTCAGTTCATCACAAATATTTTCAGCCTTAAAGCCAAGGCCTACCTGATCATGTTGTTCACCCAGAAAGATGACCTGGACGATACATCCATTGAAGACTTCATAAAAGAGGCCGATGAAGATCTGCAGCGGCAAATTAAGGACTGTGGGTACCGGTTCCTGGCTTTCAACAACAAGGCCAAAGGGGAGGAACAAGAGGCTCAGGTCGATGGATTGATTCAGATGATTGATGACCTGGTGAGAACCAACAGAGGTGCCCCCTGTTACACTGAAGAGATGTTTAAGGAAGACAAAAAGAACAGCAAGTCCGGCTGGCTCTGCACCCTGTTGTAGCCGAGAGCAGAGCTCCCTCCGGTTCACGGTCTGAGGATCTTCTCACCCACTGACCTGCTGACCCGCTTGCGGTGATGGAAACCTCGCAGAAACCCTCCCGGCTGCTCCGTCCAGAGAGAGACAGTGTCCAAGGAAGGCCCAGCAAGCTCTTCCCGCCGGCCCATCTTCGATTCGGATGCAGAGCGCAGCAGCTCAAATCAGTGCACGGCGGCCGCAACGTGGCAGCAGGACACGACGTGTCAGACGCGCCTCCCCAGCCTGGACACTTTGGATCCTGGAGGCGCCAGTTCCAGCCCTGCCAGCCCAGCCAAAATGGCATCCGTCCCAAAGCCAGACTTTCCAGGACGCTGCAGACCCTTCTGTGCCCGTAGCCTGTGCAGAGGCCGCTGGGTCGGAGGGCCTCTGCCCTCACACAGGTCCTGCTGCTTGCCTTTCACGGTTGTGGGAAGAGCAGCGCCCACGCTTGAATAAACGCGGTAAAAGAGAAAGATCCGAGTCTCTCCTTTCTTAGAACGAGGGAGGGTGGCGAGGGGCCTTCAG